GTGGAAGTAGGTCAGGCCCAAGAGTTAGGCCACGGCTTAGCCAACAGGTAGCAGGAGATATCCTCTGTACCAAGATTCTATGGTGCTGCTGTGTCAGACCAGTTACCATAATGGTATACAGTGCCGACAAGATGAGGAGTTTGACTCATGTGCAACACTGGATATCTTCCAAATAAAGATTTCCTGATGTTGCATGAGTATCCAAACCCTAATCCTCTGGCACCTGTCAGCGTGATGTGGATGAGTGTCCAAAATCCTCATTCCCTGACACCTGTCAGCGTGATGTGGCGCGCAGAAGGAGGAGCGGTGGGAGGAAAGGAGCCGCCCCAGCGACCAGGAAGAGCTACAAAACTTCTATTCTCTGAAGCAGCAGCAACAACAGCAGCAACAACAATAACAACAGCTACAGCAGCAGCAGCAGCAGCTGCATCCTCTATGGAATCAAAAAAAACAAGTCTTCGCTATCCTTTTCTACTAAACTAGACGTGCGGTTAATTTTGTCTTCCCCTCAGCGGAGTTATATATTTTTTTCTCGAGTTTTGTAAAGCTGTGAGAGAGTCAAAATGCAGTGCTTAGCCAGGGTTGAGCGAACTAAATATTGTATCAGGACGACCTGACTGTGAGCCTACCTGTGCAGGTAATCAAACTTACTTCTAAAAGCCTCGTATATATCTTGTCCCCACAGCTTTTCTCGGCAATGTTATCCGTAGGCTGTTCATGGTAATGTAGGCCGTGTAGTATGAGCGAGATTTCGTCCTCATAAGGCCTAGGTGATGCCTTCTAGCATCACCTAGTACCACCTTCCCCGCCCTTGGCTCACTGTGTCCGTGGCTCACTGTGTCCTTGGCTCACTGTGTTCTTGGTTCACTGTGTCCTTGGTTCACTGTGTCCTTGGCTCACTGTGTCCTTGACTCCCTGTGTCCTTGGCTCACTGTCTCCCTGGCTCACTGTGTCCTTGGCTCTGGCCCTGCTATTAAGTGCCGTTAATTTACTAAACAAACAGAACTACACAAGGATTATCACAGTACGTGTACTTTATGTTACTGTATTGATGTTTGTGTGTGTGGGCGAGTCTGTATTTATTAGATAACGTTTCGGTCCTGGGACCTTGATCACTGGCCCTGGAACCTTGATCACTGGTCCTGGGACCTTGATCACTGGTCTTGTGACTTTGATCACTGGTCCTGGGACCTTGATCACTGGTCCTGGGATTTTGATCACTGGTCCTGGGATCTTGATCACTGGTTCTGGGACTTTGATCACTGGTCCTGGGACCTTGATCACTGGTCCTGGGTCTGTGATCACTGGTCCTGGAACTTTGATAACTGGTCCTAGGACTTTGATCACTGGTCCTGGGACTGTGATGACTGGTCCTGGGACCTTGATCACTGAAATCAACACCGTTTTGACTTCTGGCTTCTTGAGTACCAGCATACATTTCCTTAAATATTTATATGCTCTGTACGGATCCTGTCTCTTCCATGTCACTGATTGTCCAGGTCGATCCACTTCCTGGTACACTCCGAGGCTGAAGAAATACTTCCCAACATCTCTGGGAGGGGGGTGCATTTATGCCCCCGTGTACCTGTTTCCGGCCTCTGACAACTCACACACGACGAGGTTCTTCGCACTCAGCATGTGAAAGACGGAGCCTCCCAGCCCTCCTTGCGCTGAAAGACCCGCACGGGTTTAGTACTTCTCACACACATACACACACACAAATACTATAACATTGCGAACGTCAAGTTTCAGTGAATCTCTCACTGCTAGTTCACTGCTAGTTCACTGCTAGTTCACTGCTAGTTCACCATTAGCTCATGACAAGTTCACTACTAATTCACTACTAGCTCACTCCTAGTTCATTACTAGTTCACTACTAATTCACTCTAGTTCATTACTAGTTCAGACATACATCAACTACAAATGCACCTACCATGGACATGGCTGCGGTGTGTGTGCTCCTCCTACCTGTGCTCACCAGTATTTCACTGTGGGTTTGTGTATGCTTGCGTTGTTACTTGTATTAGCGGTCACACACACACACACACACACACACACACACACACACACACACACACACACACAACACACATACACACACACACACACACACACACACACACACACACACACACACACACATACACACACACACACACACACACACACACACACACACACACACACACACACACACACACACACACACCCACACACACACACACACACACACACACACACACACACACACATACACACACACACACACACACACACACACACACACACACACACACACACACACACACACCCACACCACACAACACACACACACACACACACACACACACACACACATACACACACACACACACACAACACACACACACACACACACACACACACACACACACACACACACACCTGTGACGAGCGGGGTCCCACAGGGGTCGGTCCTAGGACCAGTGCTATTTTTGGTATATGTGAACGACATGATGGAAGGGCTAGACTCAGAAGTGTCCCTGTTTGCAGATGATGTGAAGTTAATGAGGAGAATTAAATCAGATGAGGACCAGGCAGGACTTCAAAGAGACCTGGACAGACTGGACACCTGGTCCAGCAAATGGCTTCTCGAATTTAATCCTGCCAAATGCAAAGTCATGAAGATAGGGAAAGGGCACAGAAGACTACAGACAGAGTATAGGCTAGGTGGCCAAAGACTGCAAACCTCACTCAAGGAGAAAGATCTTGGGGTGAGTATAACACCGAGCATGTCTCCGGAAGCACACATCAACCAGATAACTGCTGCAGCATATGGGCACCTGGCAAACCTGAGAGCAGCATTCCGATACCTTAGTAAGGAATCGTTCAAGACACTGTACACCGTGTATGTCAGGCCCATACTGGAGTATGCAGCACCTGTTTGGAACCCGCACTTGATAAAGCACGTCAAGAAACTAGAGAAAGTACAAAGGTTTTCGACAAGGTTAGTTCCAGAGCTAAGGGGAATGTCCTATGAAGAAAGATTAAGGGAAATCGGCCTGACGACACTGGAGGACAGGAGGGTCAGGGGAGACATGATAACGACATATAAAATACTGCATGGAATAGACAAGGTGGACAAAGGATGTTCCAGGGAGGGGACACAGAAACAAGAGGCTACAATTGGAAGTTGAAGACACAAATGAGTCAGAGAGATATTAGGAAGTATTCTTCAGTCATAGAGTTGTAAGGCAGTGGAATAGCCTAGAAAATGACGTAGTGGAGGCAGGAACCATACACAGTTTTAAGACGAGGTTTGATAAAGCTCATGGAGCGGGGAGAGAGAGGGCCTAGTAGCAACCGGTGAAGAGGCGGGGCCAGGAGCTAAGACTCGACCCCTGCAACCACAAATAGGTGAGTACAAATAGGTAAGTACACACAAACACACATGCACACACACACACACACACACACACACACACACACACACACACACACAAACACACATGCACACACACACACACACACACACACACACACACACACACACACACACACACACACACACACAACACACACACACACACACACACACACACCATCTTACTGAAGCCTTTTCTAAGTTTCTATCTGTTTTTTTGTTTTTGCTAATTATTGGCTTTTTCTTTACATTTCTCTTTCTGTTTTTGTTTTACACAGGGTTTTACAAGGTTATATTAAGGAGTCTTAACTTTATTTACTAGCTAAGAGGTGTTAAAACATCAGCTTATTTAAAAGTATTTTTATTGTTATGAGACAGACAAGGAACAGGATGAAGTTGGAGCCATCTGTGGGCCAGCAATTTCATTTGATCAACTGATTTTATTTCGTTGATATCATTATGCTGTACGAACATGTTCCAGACTTGAGTCATCCGAAGAATAAATGATCTCAGATGTAGTGATGTTCTCTCTTTCTCTCTTTTATTTCTTGCGTCTTTCCCTTCTCGTCTCCTCCCCTCCTCCCCTTCCTTCAGTGATTTTTATCAGACATAAGTCTCCACGGTTCACTCGGCCTTGATAATAGCCTTCAAAGATTAAGAGACGTCACCAGTCTCTGAGACAATGGGATGTCACGGCCCAGAGAGACGGAGAGAGAGATGTCACATGAGATTATTGACTATCACAGATTGTATTTCGTGAGGTGCTAGATCCAGGAGTGTTGGTCATTCACTGCAAGATGAAGCGGAGGTTCAGTCCACTGTCAAGTAATCTTAGCCCAAGCTCAGAGCAATTTAGACTTATTATTATTATTATTAAAGATTCGTCGGTATTCTCCCGGCCCGGGCCTTTTCCAAGTGGTGGCCCGGCCTTGGCTCCCTGACTTGGGAGTGTCTGAGACCTAAGTCTCCCATGGGAGGAGGCACAAGTACCCCCTCATATTTGGAACCAATTGTCCCCAGGCCTAGCCACATTCCCAGGCCTCTAGGGGCGCGTAGGGAGAAGCTAGGCCTCTCTGGTCTGCCATCCCCGCCCCAAGGGGGCTAATGGGAATGACAGTTTTGTGAGCTACAAGCTCGGGCTCAGGCACCTACCCTACCCTAGAAGGGCTGGGCATGGTGTCGATCATTTAGACTTGTTGGTTGCAGCTTGAGACGGTTCGATCATTCTCATGTATCTTTTGCATATCATTGTTATCATATTATAATTAATGTAACACTAAATGTAGCTATTATTACACTTTATTATTATTATTGTTATTATTATTATTATTATTATTATTATTATTATTATTAGTAGTAGTAGTAGTAGTAGTAGTAGTAGTAGTAGTAGCAGTAGTAATTTTTCTATATTCAATATTACGAAATAAACAGTATACCTTGTTTGTTTACGAAGGTGTTGAGAGTGAAGTCTTTGACGTACTAATTCAGAAGCTTGTGTTATCAGCTGCATCAACTGAGTACCTAAGTGATCCCTCCACTCTCAGTGGTTGAGATGATCACCTGGCTGGTCACTCCACGGCCAGTGATAGAGGTGAGCACCCAGCTGGTCACTCCACTGTCAGTACTCAAGGGGGTAGTGTTAACACAGGCAGCAACCCTCCCTGAAGGAACCAAGCAGGATTCTTGAAGCCTCAAAAGAAAACAGCTCACTTGAGGGACGAAACCTCTGTGCTCACCTTTGAAGAACAAGTTCCTTCATTGTTGATTACTTGGCCATGTCTTTCAGTGTTCGTGTGAGCGTAGTTCTTGCTCTCTTTGTTCTGAAGACGAGCGAAACTAACGCTTTCAAACAATCACCCCTGCTGGTCAAGGAGACAGCTATCTTGGATGACGTCTTGGCAGCACAGCATCAGAATCTACAAGAAGGGCAAACACCATATGGTTCCAGTAGCAGTGAAATGCCCCCGACAGACTATAAGCGGGTTACCGCAGGCGATCTGGGCACGGCCAGAGGAACGATTCTGAAGTCCTTCATGGGAAGAGATTTCTACGCCTTCATGAGCATCCCGTACGCTCAGCCTCCCGTGGGCGATCTCAGGTTCAGAGTGAGTTTCAGTAATATCCGTTTTGATGTGCTTACGCAGCAGATATTTCCTGCATCTCTTGAAGTAACATATGAGAGATATTCAATACTACATTTATGTTTTCACGTGTGTCTACAAAGTCACCAGCTTAAAAACGACACAGGTTACACACATCTGCATTTAAAAACAAAGCAATTAAGAACCAATTAAATTATACAATAGCCGAACTTTGGTACGAATATTTGCAAGACATAAGTCTGTCTTGTACTATTGTTTTGTATGCAAACAACCCGTTTGCAAGTTAATACACCAGGACCGTAACTCGGATGTAAGATAAAACACCAGGGAACACCACTGGTTTATTAGTTGAAACACCAGGGAAAGCAAATGGCTTCTATGTTTGAGATTCGTATTTGAATGTTGTCAACACCGGTAACAAGAGGGTTGAAGAAGAGGTGGCTACATGGTAAGGGTAGTCCCTGATCCCTGACCTAACTTTCTAGCAAAAAAGACAGTCTACCACTGCAGCATTAATCGAGGTCCACCACAGCAAAACACCGGTGGTGCATCGGTTCCCCTGAACCACCACACCAATGAGTCGTGTGGCAAGTTAGCAACAAACTCTCGTGTGTAATTCGATCACTACTTATCATGACTACTGTTACCAATTCTTCAAAGGGTCAAACCTGATTTTCGCCCACTTCTCCAGGGGCAATGTAATTCTCTACGGGTTAGTGCTTCCCTACGTATATAATCATTATAACAGTCTCGCCCTCCACCCCTAATTTAAAAGCAACTAGCCTTGGATATCTATAAATGTAGTTGATATATAAGCGTAGATATGGTGTATCACAACACTTCAGCCTCTCAAGTGCTGGTCCCACACTACACTCTGTGGTCGACAGATAGTGTAGAACTTTGTGAACATCTCTGCCAAGTCATGGCTTGTTAAAAGCTCTACATATACTACCATATTTGTCTCTTTACACATTTACATACCTGCCATCCTGCACACATTTCACATTTTTCACATTTCAATCATAACTAATACCAAATTTAATAATAATAATAATAATAATAATAATAATAATAATAATAATAATAATAATAATAATAATAATAATAATTATTATTATTATTATTATTATTATTATTTTAACACATCAGCCGTTTCCCACCGAGGTAGGGTGACCCCGAAAAAGAAGAAACATTTTCATCATCACTCACTCCATCACTGTCTTGCCAGAGACGTGCCTACAAAAACTACAATATATCTCCACCCCTCCTTCAGAGTGTAGCACTGTACTTCCCACCTCCAGGACTAGAATAATACAATAACCAGAGTTTTGGTAAGTTGGGGGAAGAAGAAGGATAGGCGAGGATGGAATATGAAGGCAGGTTCGGTGGGGGGTGGGGAGAGAGAGGGATGTGGATAATTGCCGCCCAACCACTTTGGCGTATATAATGAAGGTGTGCGTGTGTTGTGTTATGCATAATAATCAGATGATTGGTATTCTGCATCACCCGTCAGAGGCACACGTGTTAATTTGCATGAAAGTGAATTAGTCGTAAATACGTTTTTGTTTTTGCCAGTTTTATGCGTAGAAGGCAAGTTGTTCGGGCTAGTTGTAAGGCGCTTGCTGGAGCTGCTGGTCAGCTGATCCGTTTCTGAGGCGGTGTCCTGTTGTAGGCGATTTTCAACTGCTACTTGGTTAGATGTAAGGTGTCATCAATAAGGATGGTTTTGTGTCTTAGACACAGATTGAATCTGGTGGTACCTATTCTTCTATATCTTCAGGCAGATCACTCAGAATCTTTGGTCTTGGGAAGTCTCACATCCTGTGGGTTTTGTGTGGGGAGGTGTATTGATTATTAAGTCAGTAGTGCAAGTTGGCTGGGGGTGGGTTTTCCCTGTCTAGTATACAGAGTTCTTGCATAACATATAGTTATTGCTTCTTTAGTTTGTCAAGCCTAACATTTATTGCTTCGATTTCCTGTTGGATGTGCAGATCTTCCATTCTGATTCTGTCCCTCAGTCTGGTGCCTGTGATAAAGCAGAGTGCCTTGTTCTGGAGTCTTCGCATGTGTAACATATTGATTTTTGTTGTTAGTGACATGGCACGCAAGGATGTTCAAGCATGGGTCTTGCCTTTATCTTATATAGGTGCTTCATGACATGAGAGAGAACTATGATTAAACTTGTATAGCTGACTGAGGCGGGTTGTAGCTGAGTTTACCTTGTTGGTGATGTGTGATGTAGACTGGAGTATTGTGTCATTCTCATAGCCCAAGATCTTATTTGGGTTTTAATGGTGATAGGTGTGCCCCATCGACCCCGGGTAGTAGTAGTAGTATAAGCACAAGCAGCAGTAGTAACCAAATCATTAGTCTAGCAACATTCATCGTAAAGTTTTTTGGTTGTTGTTCGCCGTCACTTGTAAACAGTTCATTGTTTATCAGTCTACGAAGCAAAACTTTCTGCAATAATTTCTGCATCTCCTCTTCCTTCATTGCTCCACTGAAGTGAGTATTTCTAATCACTGTTTTGCTGTTACTTGCCTCTCTCCTTGTCTTACCACCATAATCCCGTACTCATATTTGCATTCTGCTCCAGGCCTGTGATGGATAGTGTATCATCACTCTTACCTTTTACTGGTCACTGTATCATCACCCTTACCTTGTACTGACTGGTCACTATATCATCACCCTTATCTTGTAATGATGACTGTATCATCACATCATATTAACCTTGTACTGGTCACTGTATCATCACTTACCTTGCGCTGGTAACTGTATCATCACTTGTACTGGTCACTATATCATCATACTTACCTTATACTGGTCACTGTATCATCACTTAACTTGCACTGGTCCCTATATCATCACACTTCTCTTGTACTGATGACTGGATCATCACTCTTACCTTGTACTGACGACTGTATCATCACCCTTACCTTCTACTGATCACTACATGGACGTGCGACGTGCCGCGACGCAGTTTAACTACTGATCACGGTTCAGCCTTGTAACTTCCTTCGAGTTTTTTTTTTTTTTAAATTGAGGTATCTGTAGGAACCTGGGGAATTTTTTTAAGTGCCTTCTAAGAATTTAATTTATTTTTATTAAAATGATTATTGTAATTTAGTGAGGAGAAGTTTGTGTTTCGTTACCTAGTGTTACCATGTTACTGTTGTGCGTGAGTTGCTGAGTGATTCTGATAAATGGTTCTTGGAAATATCTTCTTTAAGTCCAGGTCACAGACCAGGTCTTACTTCCTTCTTCTTGTCTGTGTATCATTACACTCCCTCTATCATTTTCTTCCTTTTGTGTATCATCACACTCTCGTTTGCTTCCTTCTTCTGGTGTGCAAATCATGTTCACACTCATTTCCTTCTTTCTTCTGGTCTGCGTATCGTCACACTCTCATTTCATTCCTTCTTCTGTGTATCATCATGTTCACACTCTCATTTCCCTCCTTCCCTCTGGTCTGTGAATTATGTTCACATTCATTTCCTTCCTTGTGGTCTGCGTATCATCACACTCAACTCCGCAGAATCCTGAGCCGTGGGAGGGCCCCTGGCCTCAGGAGGTAGATGGGGACTACGAGGCCACCTGGCTGAGAGCGAAATGTCCTCAGATCTCCCTCATCCTTGACGTCATCTCCGGCAGAGAAGACTGTCTCCACCTCAGCATTTACACCCCTTTGGTGAGTATGCTCTACCTCCCTGGTGAGTATGATCCACCTCCTTGGTGAGTATGATCCACCTCCCTGGTGAGTATGATCCACCTCCCTGGTGAGTATGATCCACCTCCCTGGTGAGTATGATCCACCTCCCTGGTGAGTATGATCCATCTCCCTAGTGAGTATGATCCACCTCCCTGGTGAGTATGATCCACCTCCCTGGTGAGTATGATCCACCTCCCTGGTGAGTATGATCCACCTCCCTGGTGAGTATGATTCATCTCCCTGATGAGTATGATCCACCTCCCTGGTGAGTAAGATTCATCTCCCTGGTGAGTAGGCTTAATCACCGGACTAAATTATCCGTCTATCAGACTAAATTACCAGTCTACCAAGAGTGATTTACCAGATTACCAAACTGAAGTAAATGTATTATTTTTAAAATCTATTAGACTGTATTTCACTGTATTATACTCTAATACATTATTCTACATTGTAGTGCTCTGTTACTGTAATCTTAATTAATACAATGTAACAAAAATGTACAATGTACCAAAAATGTTGCATTTGATCGTATTGTATTCAGTGTATTGCTGTATTCTGTTCTATTCTAGGTTCTATTCTGCCCTGTGTTGAATAGAACCTAGAACTCTGCTGCGTTCTAGGTTCTATTGTACTCTGCTGAATTAGTGTAACTACAGTCTTGTACTCATGAGTACAAAACTGTTTAGTACAATGTAAGTCCTCTTTTCCTTGGTTTCCTTCAAGGTGGGCACCTTGATGCTAGTGAAGGGATCTTGATTCAAGGAACTAGAACTACCCTTTAATCTTATCAAATCAGGTTACCTCCCATTTCCAGGGCGCTGGCTGACCTTGCGGTTTTAGAGCGTCTCCTCGAGTATTAATAATAGCCAAAAGTAATGAGAGACACGGGAACAGAACTTCTGCTGCCACAACGTTTCGCCATGAGTAAAGATTTTTCAAGCTTTCTATTAAGCTCTGCTTAGAGCGAAACATTGTCACAAGAAAAGCTTGTACCTAGTTTGTTTTCTTCGTAACAGTAAGCTTTCCACAGCTTCCGGAGGATATGGAAGCCAGCAGCAGTCTTCCTGTGATGTTTTGGATCCACGGTGGAGCTTACACTACCGGTGACGCCAGCCTCTATGTTCCCACCAAGCTTATGGACCGAGATGTGGTGGTGGTGGTGGTGCAGTACCGTCTGGCCTCGTTGGGTGAGTGGTGATGTTGGTGATGATGGTGGTGGGTGGTGGTGGTGGTGGTGGTGGTAGCGGTGGTGATGGTGGGGGTAGTGATATAGTAACATATCATTCTAAAATCCACTTGGATCTAACACCCTCACACTTGTTATGTGTTCAGTCCTCATACCTCTCAAAACTTCCTTCACATCCTCCGTCGAAACCCTCCCACGGAAGTTCCCTACATTTCTTCTCTTCCTCTCTTAGTAAACCTAACCAGCTCCATGCTTTCTACATGACCGAACAATCTCAGCAGCCTCTTTCCCCATATTGACTCTCACCTAAGAGCCGTACTGCTTTCTAATTATTTCATTCCTTATTCTCTTCATAAAATTCTCTCCAAACATTAATCTGTTACGGTATTTTCACTGCCTCGAACCTCATCCTTGTAAATACAATGGCGTCATTATTCCTATGTTCTGATATGTTTTCTTTTTGCATTCACTGATATACCTCTTTGTCTTACACAGATATCTCTATACTCCTGCATCTTTCTTTCCTTAGTTTATTCTTTGATTCAGCATCCTCTTCATGGGTCTATCTGCCGATGCATCCGTTGTCAGGTATCAGGACACTACCTTCATGATCCTTCCTTCCACTCTCACTTGCAGTCTTCCATCTCCCGGAATTCTACTCATTCTAATCACCTTTGCTCTTTTCTGTGTTTATTTATTTAGCTAGCTTTCCTCTCTTACTGTTTGTTCCAAATTCCTCCACTGTAAACAAAGCTCTACCTTAGATTCAACTAACAGCAAAATTCAACTCTGACAACTTACATTATACATCAGATTAATCTTTACGACAGAGCATCTCTCTCTAACTCTGTGATTCACTTCTATAAGCACGTTACATTACCATAGCGACATACGCAGCCTTATCTAATACCTACTTTCAGTATCTAACATTCTCCCTCTTTCTTACATACCGTAAACAACCTCAGCCTCACTCTCATATAATCTTTCTACAGATTACAAATATTATTATTATTATTATTATTATTATTATTGGGACATACTGGGACATCTTTCTTGGATCGCTCAGCTACCGAAACACATCTAGCTAATGTGTGTATTTTTCTGTGTACTTGACGTTGTCTCTTTTCTTCAGGTTTCCTTGCTGGGGGTATTCCCGAGGCTCCTGGCAACATGGGGCTCCTCGACCAGATCATGGCCCTCCGCTGGGTAAGTGCTCCTTGCCTCTTCTTCTCAATATATTATTGCCTATTCACTGATAACTCGGATAACGCTGGACCGTTATCAACTCTAACCAAGGACACAGTGCAAGCCAACCACGGTACTGTTCTTCTTTGTTTGGAGTACCTATAAATTCACCCCCCTCCCCCAAACACACACACTAATCCTTTCCTTCCACCGCAGGTACAAGATTACATAAGCTACTTCGGTGGAGACCCCAACCTAGTGACAGTGTTCGGGCAGAGTGCTGGTGGAGCCAGTGCATCTTGGCTGCAACTCACGCCGTTAACTAACGGTAAATGTCTCTTTCTCTCCTGCACTAACACTCCCTTTTCACTATAACCTTAAATTACAGTATGATATATCATTCTTTACTAATTCTCGTCCGCTGCCTCCTTATTACTGGCGAGTCACTAACAATGATCTGACAATATTAATTATGAATTACTGTTTATCGTTGGCTGCGAGAGTACAGTTTCTGTTTTGCGATTATCGGGCGGAGGATCGAGCCTCTACAGCTCCTTACTTTGCATGACCCCCACGAGTTGAGTGCTATAAGAAAATATAATAATGACAACTGTCTAAACAAGACGTCATTTACACTGGAACCTGTGCTAACCAGGCAGCAGCGCCACACCTGTACCTGGCACCATGATGCCACATATTGAAATGAAAATTTTTATTCAATCCTCTAGTCGTGGGAGTCCAGACTATTGCCATATATTTACATTTTACTCATTACATCCTGAGTAAACCGAGTTCGAGCCTATATGACGCCTTTCGTACAGTTTTTTTTTTTCACGAAAATGTGGAACATGAATTTGGTTCTTGTTTTAAGAATAGTTACCTTGCTTTGCTCCCACCGAATGGAATCTCCACACTTCGTCACGACACAGAGACAGCGCCACAGAACAATGGTCGTCAGCTGCTGCATCGTGTGATCGTCGAGAGTGGCTCTGCCCTGGAGATCTGGACCATCGACAACAACCCGCATGAGTCCTTCCAAGACACCGCTGCTCTCCTCAATTGCTCCTTGGACGGCTGGAGCTCCGAGGAGAAAGTCGAGTGTATGAAAACCAGGAGCTACAAGGAGGTCACCCGTGCTTCACTTGTTCTTTATGTAAGTTAGCCTGAGTGCCATTCATTCAGGTGCTCCAAAATCACATTTTTATTTAGCTTTATTTATACTAAAGAGTAAGCAGTCACATATACGGTAGGAGTCAGAGTGCCATCATATAGGAACAGGAAGATGAGCTTAATTGACATCGTCTCTGAATCATCCATAATGTCCATGAGGAATCATTTGCCTCACAGACCGCGTATCTTCCCCAACAGGCACAAGACCGTATTACGGGAGGTCTGGGGTTTCGTGGTTTGTGTCCAGTGATTCAGAGTGAACTGGCCAATGGTAATCACAGTGACTTGGAAATCGTCATTCCCAAGGACCCTCGTGCCACACTAGAGCTTGGGGAGTTCCTGAAGGTGCCTGTCATGATCGGCAGTGTACGAGACGAAGGATCACTCATCATTGGATGTGAGATCATTTATTTCATCTACGGATTTGATATTTTTATGGAACCTAATTATGTTAATAATTATAACATACAGTAACAATAAAAATATCAATAATAATAATAGTCATAATAATGATGATAATAATAACAATATTACTAATGACAAAGAATACATAACTCAACAAACTGTATTGAATATATAATATTATATATATATATATATATATATATTATATATATATATAATATATATATATATATATATATATATATATATATATTTATATATATATATATATATTATGTCGTGCCGAATATGTAAAACTGGTCATTTAGCAAGAACTCATTTAAAATTAAGTCCTTTCTAAAATTTTCTCTTATACGTTTAAAGATAATTTTTTTTCATTAATGTTGATGTAAAAAATTATAATTTTGCACCAAAAGGCATTTAGAAAACTTACCTAACCTTATTATAACAAGAACAATTTATTTTAGCCTAACCCAACTAAATATATTTTAGATTTGTTTACAATAATTTAATACTAAACAAACAGTGAAATATATTTTTTTTCGTTAGGTTCAGAATGATTTTGGCGAAATTATTGCATACACAAATTTTAACTTGTCCTATATGGCAAGATAAGTGTTGCTAATTAAGCCAAGATCGCAAATTCTGCCTATTCGGCACGACATTTATATATAATATATATATATATATATATATATATATATATAATATATATATATATATATATATATATATATATATATATATATATATATATGCAAAACAACCACTCTGAAAGAATAGAGAAATTCCAAGCGCTTTCGTGACTACTCACATTATCAAGGAACTATGAAAGTAAAGCATCCAAGGAAGCTATATAAGGGGTCTGGCCAGCACCTCACTATCAGATCCCACAACGGTTAAACACCTGACGCGCGCCGACCCAACTTGGATAGGTCCTTTGCACAACTCACCCCACAAACTATTCTACCCCAAAAAAATTAAAAATTATTTGTCCAGTGTATTATTAAATTCTTCCCAAATTCTATTAATTATAAATGGATCTAATTTATATAAACCAAAGGAAATATTCATATTATTGTCAAAACTGCTTTTTATGAAACAAGATTCAATTATATTCCTGTCGACCATGGACTTGCTTGATACTACTTTCTCAACTTTTTGAAAATCAATTGGATGGTTAAAATCTCTTACATGAATAAATAGAGCATTGGAATCTTGTCCAGTTCTAATGCTATATTTATGTTGTTTTAATCATAGTTCGAGATTTTTACCAGTTTGACAGTAATAAACTTTATCGCAAATTTTACAAGGAATCTTATAGACACATCCATCAGCATTTTGGGGGGAATTCTTTATCAAAAGTTTTTGTACTGTATCAAGATTTTTGAATACAACTTTAATATTAAAAGTCTTAAGAAGAGAAGGCATATCAACCAAGTTTTCATGGTAAGGGAGAACCAACATATTTTTAGTTGAATAAGGCTGGTTGTCCCTTTTTGGATTGTAAAAAGTATTTCTAGCAACTTTAAAAGATTTATCAATTACATTTCTTGGGTATTTTAAATCATTACCTATTTCATAAATTTTGGATATTTCCTCATCTATGAACTCAGGGCTACAAATTCGTAAAGCTCTCAAAAACATTGATGAAAAAACAGACAGTTTGACTCTATCTTGATGCGAGGAATAATAGTGGACATAGGAACAGTTATTTGTAGGTTTTCTGTAAATTTTAAATTTGAATTCATTATTACCCTTAATAATTAAAACATCTAGAAAAGGCAATGAGTTATTTTCTTCAAACTCAACAGTAAAGTTTATAGAAGTTTATAGAATGTAGATATACACCATTTCCTAGGAAAATTAAATAGCTTAGCCCATTCTATAAACTTTACTGTTGAGTTTGAAGAAAATAACTCATTGCCTTTTCTAGATGTTTTAATTATTAAGGGTAATAATGAATTCAAATTTAAAATTTACAGAAAACCTACAAATAACTGTTCCTATGTCCACTATTATTCCTCGCATCAAGATAGAGTCAAACTGTCTGTTTTCTCATCAATGTTTTTGAGAGCTTTACGAATATGTAGTCCTGAGTTCATAGATGAGGAAATATCCAAAATTTATGAAATAGGTAATGATTTAAAATACCCAAGAAATGTAATTGATAAATCTTTTAAAGTTGCTAGAAATACTTTTACAATCCAAAAAGGGACAACCAGCCTTATTCAACTAAAAATATGTTGGTTCTCCCTTACCATGAAAACTTGGTTGATATGCCTTCTCTTCTTAAGACTTTTAATATTAGAGTTGTATTCAAAAATCTTGATACAATAAAAAAACTTTTGATAAAGAATTCCCCCAAAATGCTGATGGATGTGTCTATAAGATTCCTTGTAAAATTTGCGATAAAGTTTATTACGGTCAAACTGGTAAAAATCTCGAACTAAGATTAAAACAACATAAATATAGCATTAGAACTGGACAAGATTCCAATGCTCTATTTATTCATGTAAGAGATTTTAACCATCCAATTGATTTTCAAAAAGTTGAGAAAGTAGTATCAAGCAAGTCATGGTCGACAGGAATATAATTGAATCTTGTTTCATAAAAAGCAGTTTTGACAATAATATGAATATTTCCTTTGGTTTATATAAAATTAGATCCATTTATAATTAATAGAATTTGGGAAGAATTTAATAATACACTGGACAAATAATTTTTAAATTTTCTTGGGTTTGAAGAGTTTGTGGGGTGAGTTGTGCAAAGGACCTATCCAAGTTGGGTCGGCGCGCGTCAGGTGTTTAACCGTTGTGGGATCTGATAGTGAGGTGCTGGCCAGACCCCTTATATAGCTTCCTTGGATGCTTTACTTTCATAGTTCCTTGATAATGTGAGTAGTCACGAAAGCGCTTGGAATTTCTCTATTCTTTCAGAGTGGTTGTTTTGCATATTCTGAAATCACCTGTTTACTGTGATCTTATTGCATATATATATATATATATATATATATATATATATATATATATATATATTATATATATATATATTATATATAATATATATATATATATATATATATATATATATATAAGAACATAAGAAAGGAGAATCACTGCAGCAGGCCTGTTGGCCCATACTAGGCAGGTCCTTTACAATTCATCCCACTAACAAAACATTTGCCCAACCTAGTTTTCAATGCTACCCAAGAAATAAGCTCTGATAACTCTATCCACTCATTTGCAAGTCACACTCAAATCCAACCCCTCTCACTCATATATTTATCCAACCTAAATTTGAAACTATTCAAAGTCCTAGCCTCAATAACCCAACTAGGTAGACTGTTCCACTCATCAACTACCCTATTTCCAAACCAATACTTTCCCATGTCCTTTCTAAATCTGAACTTTTCTAATTTAAATCCATTACTGCGGGTTCTCCCTTTATTAATACCTATCTTCCACTTATACACATCGATCAGGTCTCCCCTCATTCTTCGTCTAACAAGAAAATGTAATTTAAGAGTCTTCAATCTTTCTTCATAAGGAAGATTTCTAATGTATTAATTTAGTCATTCTACGCTGAATGTTTTCTAACGAATTTATATCCATTCTGTAATATGGAGATCAGAATTGAGCTGCATAATCTAGGTGAGGCCTTACTAATGATGTATAAAGCTGCAGTACAACCTCTGGACTTCTGTTGCTTACACTTCTTGATATAAATCCCAATAATCTATTTGCCTTTTTACGTACGCTTAGGCACTGCTGTCTTGGTTTAATTAAGGTTGCTGCTCACCATAACCCCCAAGTCCTTTTCGCAATCTGTATGGCTAAGTTCTACATTATTTAACTTATAAGTACCGGGGTTTTAGGGGCCCACTCCCGAGCTTCAGAACCTTGCTTTTTATCTACATTGAATGCATCTGCCCTTTTCTGACCAAAAAAACAGAGTTTGTCTAAATCCTCCTGAAGTTCCATAACATCTACGTTTGAATCAATTATCCTACCTATCTTTGTGTCATCGGTGAATTTGCTCATATCACTAGTAATACCCTCATCAAGGTCATTGATATATATTATAAACAACAACGGGCCTAAGACTGATCCCTGTGGAACGCCACTTGTTACAGATCCCCACTCGGTTTTAAAACCCCCATTTAAGCATACTCTCTGCTTCCTATTAGTGAGCCATGACTCGATCCATGACAGCACTTTTCCCCCAATGCCATGAGCTGCCACTTTTTTTAACAGTGGTGCGGTACTCTTTCAAAAGCCTTACTAAAATCTAAATAAACAATATCGTATTCTTTATCATGATCAACGGCCTCAAAAGCTTTACTGAAGAAGGTTAATAAATAAGTTAGGCAGGAATGGCCCCTCGTGAATCCATGCTGAGTATCATTAATCAAGCTGTGCTTATCCAGATGGCTTCTTATATTATCAGCTATAATTGACTCTAGTAATTTCCCTACAGTTGAGGTTAGGCTTATTGGGCGGTAATTTGACGGAAACGACTTGTCCTCTGCTTTAAAAATAGGAATTACATTAGCCATCTTCCACATATCAGACACTACACCTGTTTGAAGAGAAATATTTAAAATATTAGTCAATGGTTCACAAAGTTCCATTTTACACTCTTTAAGAACCCTTGGAAAAAGTTCATCAGGGCCCGGGGATTTATTTTGCTTTAACCGGTCTATTTGTTTGATAACCAATTCGGTAGTGACTGTGATATTGCATAATTTATCATCATCAGGCCCACTATAACAATTAATTACTGAGATATTGTTAGTGTCTTCCTGAGTGAAAAAACCCAGAGAAAATAATTTTTAAAAATAGAGCAATTTTTTCTCCTTGTCGTGAGATGCCCAGAGTTATTTTTAAGGGGACCTATCTTATCTCTAACTTTTGTTCTATAAACCTGGAAAAAAACTTTTGGGGGTTTGGGTTTTTGAATCCCTAGCAACTTTAATTTTTATAGTCCCGTTTGCTTTTCTTATCCCTTTTTTAACGTCCCTCTTAATGTCAATATACTGATTCATAAGATGACCCTCACCTCTTTAGATGCGCCTATAAATTCCTTTTTTCTGTCCTAAAAGATATTGTGTCTATTATTCATTTTTTCTGGGATCATTCTATTCGATCTAATTTCCTTATTGGGATAAAAGTCCTTTGGGCAGCATGTATTGTGTTAAGAAAGCTGTCATACTGATAGCTCTCTTCGTTACCCCAATCCACAGATGATAAGTGTTCTCTAAGCCCATTGTAATCTGCTAAGCGAAAATCTGGGAACAGTACTGAAATTATCCCTACTGTCTACTTCCATTCAATGCTAAGGTAATTGATTTGTGATCGCTTGTGCCGAGTTCCTCTGTAATTTCTAAATTATTAACAAGAGTTTCCTTGTTTGCCTAAACCAAGTCAAGAAGGTTATTTCCCTTTGTAGGCTGTATCACAAACTGCTTCAAAAAACAATCCTGAACTACTTCTAAGAAGTCGTTTGATTCCAAATTCCCAGTCAAGAAATTCCAATCAATATGACTAAAGTTAAAGTCTCCTAGAATTACTACATTATCGTGCCTTGTGGCCTTAACAATTTCCTCCCATAGTAGTCTCCCTTGGTCCCTATCTAAGTTTGGGGGACGGTATATCACATCTAAAATCAATTTTTCATGTCCCTCTGAAAATTCTATCCAAACAGACTCTGTGTGTGTTACTTCAGACTTAATACCCATTTTTATGCAACAGTTCAAGCGATCTCCGACATACAGTGCCACCCCCCCTTCCGATACTTCTATCTACTTGGAACAATTTAAATCCCTGTATGTGACATTCAAAAGGCATGTCCCGATTTTTCGTGTTGAACCACGTCTCAGTTATGGTAAATACATCAATGTTACCTGCACTAGCAACTAGTCTCAACTCGTCCATCTTATTCCTAGCACTACGACTATTTGTGTAATATATATTTAAGGACCCACCTGTCTCTTTACCCTTCCTGCTCCTTTCTGTTATTCCACTAAACCTATTACTGTCCTTGTCACCTAGTGCCACTGGCTTTCCAATATCCACCTCATTTTGCCTAATACTAGTTCTCCTAGTACTCATATTACTACACTGTTTTCCCGTCAAAACCCATACCACTAACTATTCCTAGTTTAAAGACCTAACAGCTCCCTCCCTTGTCTCACTGATCCCTATCTTCCTACACTGATAACCCGACCTTACTGGCTCCCTCTTCCCTCACTGATAACCCGACCTTACTGGCTCCATCTTCCCTCACTGATAACCCGACCTTACTGGCTCCATCTTCCCTCACTGATAACCCGACCTTACTGGCTCAATCTTCCCTACTGATAATCCTACATTACTTGCTCCATCTTCCCTCACTGATAACCCGACCTTACTGGCTCAATCTTCCCTACTGATAACCCTACATTACTGGCTCCATCTTCCCTCACTGATAACCCGACCTTACTGACTCCATCTTCCCTCACTGATAACCCTACCTTACTGGCTCCATCTTCCCTCACTGATAACCCGACCTTTCAGGCTCCATCTTCCCTCACTGATAACCCGACCTTACTGGCTCCATCTTCCCTCACTGATAACCTGACCTTACAGGCTCCATCTTCCCTCACTGATAACCCTACCTTACTGGCTCCATCTTCCCTCACTGATAACCCTACCTTACAGGCTCCATCTTCCCTCACTGATAACCCTACCTTACTGGCTCCATCTTCCCTCACTGATAACCCTACCTTACTGGCTCCATCTTCTCTCACTGATAACCCTATAATACACGACTGACTCAGGTAACACCACTGACCTCATCTCATTCCGTCCAACAGTGGCCTACAAGGACTACTTATACCCCAAAAATCACACCCCTAACGACACCGACTTCATGAGAGACCAAGCACTTCACATGATCATCAGTGCCTTTGGTAAGGTCACGGTGTCCTCGTCTACATCAATATCTATGGTAAGGTCACGGTGTGCCTGTCTACATCGGTATTATATATCATTCTTGTACTACTACTTCTACTACTACCACCACCTCTTCCTGCCTATATATAGCCGTCCTGCTCCACTTCTGGTTAGTGTGACTTTGTCAATGGTCCAAGTCGGACCGAAACGTCGTCGTAAGCTTCTCTCTTTTATGTGCGGGTTATTTGTGTATTGTGTACATCAATATCTATGGTAAGGTCACGGTGTCCTCGTCTGCATCAATATCTATGGTAAGATCACGGTGTCCCCGTCTAAATCAATATCTATGGTAAGGTCACGGTGTCCTCGTCTGCATCAATATCTATGGTAAGATCACGGTGTCCCCGTCTACATCAATATCTATGGTAAGGTCACGGTGTCCTCGTCTGCATCAATATCTATGGTAAGGTCACGGTGTCCACGTCTGCATCAATATTTATGGTTATTTTTGATGACTGGTTATTTGCGTGAATGACAGCCTATTAATCTAATTAATCAGCTAATTTGTTTTCTGGTTAATTAGCTGACTGATTGATCGGTTGGACTAGAACTTGACATACCTTAAGGTTGACTGAGAACTTGGCATACCTTAAGGTTGACTAAGAACTTGACATACCTCAAGGTTGACTGAGAACTTGACATACCTTAAGGTTGACTAAGAACTTGACATACCTCAAGGTTGACTGAGAACTTGGCATACCTTAAGGTTGACTAAGACTTGACATACCCTCAAGGTTGACTAAGAAAATTGACATACTCAAGGTTGACTAAGAACTTGACATACCTCAAGGTTGACTAAGAACTTGACATACCTGAAGGTTGACTAAGAACTTGACATACCTCAAGTTTGACTAAGAACTTGACATACCTCAAGGTTGACTAAGAACTTGACATACCTCAAGGTTGACCGAGAACTTGACATACCTCAAGGTTGACTAAGAGCTTGACATACCTCAAGGTTGACTAAGAACTTGACATACCTCAAGGTTGACTAAGAACTTGACATACCTCAAGTTTGACTAAGAACTTGACATACCTCAAGGTTGACTAAGAACTTGACATACCTCAAGGTTGACCGAGAACTTGACATACCTCAAGGTTGACTAAGAGCTTGACATACCTGAAGGTTGACTAAGAACTTGACATACCGCAAGGTTGACTAAGAACTTGACATACCTGAAGGTTGACTAAGAACTTGACATACCTCAAGGTTGACTAAGAACTTGACATACCTCAAGGTTGACTAAGAACTTGACATACCTCAAGGTTGACCGAGAACTTGACATACCTCAAGGTTGACTAAGAACTTGACATACCTCAAGGTTGACTAAGAACTTGACATACCTCAAGGTTGACTAAGAACTTGACATACCTGAAGGTTGACTAAGAACTTGACATACCTCAAGGTTGACTAAGAGCTTGACATACCTGAAGGTTGACTAAGAACTTGACATACCGCAAGGTTGACTAAGAACTTGACATACCTGAAGGTTGACTAAGAACTTGACATACCTCAAGGTTGACTAAGAACTTGACATACCTGAAGGTTGACTAAGAACTTGACATACAGCAAGGTTGACTGAGAACTTGACATACCTCAAGGTTGACTAATAACTTGACATACCTGAAGGTTGACTAAGAACTTGACATACCTCAAGGTTGACTGAGAACTTGACATACCTCAAGGTTGACTAAGAACTTGGGCATACTGAAGGTTGACTAAGAACTTGACATACCTCAAGGTTGACTAAGAACTTGACATACCTGAAGGTTGACTAAGAACTTGACATACCTCAAGGTTGACTGAGAACTTGACATAAACTCAAGGTTGACTAAGAACTTGACATACCTGAAGGTTGACTAAGAACTTGACATACCTCAAGGTTGACTGAGAACTTGACATACCTGAAGGTTGACTAAGAACTTGACATACCTCAAGGTTGACTGAGAACTTGACATACCTCAAGGTTGACTAAGAACTTGACATACCTCAAGGTTGACTAAGAACTTGACATACCTCAAGGTTGACTAAGAACTTGACATACCTGAAGGTTGACTAAGAACTTGACATACCGCAAGGTTGACTAAGAACTTGACATACCTGAAGGTTGACTAAGAACTTGACATACCTCAAGGTTGACTAAGAACTTGACATACCTCAAGGTTGACTAAGAACTTGACATACCTCAAGGTTGACAGAGAACTTGACAAACCTCTAGGTTGACTAAGAACTTGACATACCTCAAGGTTGACTAAGAACTTGACATACCTCAAGGTTGACTAAGAACTTGACATACCTGAAGGTTGACTAAGAACTTGACATACCTCAAGGTTGACTAAGAACTTGACATACCTCAAGGTTGACTAAGAACTTGACATACCTCAAGGTTGACTGAAACTTGACATACCTCAAGGTTGACTAAGAACTTGACATACCTGAAGGTTGACTAAGAACTTGGGCATACTCAAGGTTGACTGAGAACTTGACATACCTGAGGTTGACTAAGAACTTGACATACCCAAGGTTGACTGAGAACTTGACATACCTCAAGGTTGACTAAGAACTTGACATACCTCAAGGTTGACTAAGAACTTGACATACCTCAAGGTTGACTAAGAACTTGACATACCTGAAGGTTGACTAAGAACTTGACATACCGCAAGGTTGGACTAAGAACTTGACATACCCGAAGGTTGACTAAGAACTTGACATACCTCAGGTTTACTAAGAACTTGACATACCCAAGGTTGATAAGAACTTGACATACCTCGGTTGACCCAGAACTTGACATACCTCAAGGTTGACTCTTGAATACCTCAAGGTTGACTAAGAACTTGACATACCTCTAGGTTGACTAAGAACTTGACATACCTGAAGGTTGACTAAGAACTTGACATACCTCAAGGTTGACTAAGAACTTTACCCTACCTGAAGGTTGACTAAGAACTTGACATACCCCAAGGTTGACTGAAAACTTGACATCCTCAGGTTGACTAGAACTTGATTACCTGAAGGTTGACTAAGAACTTGACATACCTCAAGGTTGACTGAGAACTTGACATACCTCAAGGTTGACTAAGAACTTGACATACCTGAAGGTTGACTAAGAACTTGACATACCTCAAGGTTGACTGAGAACTTGACATACCTGAAGGTTGACTAAGAACTTGACATACCTCAGGTTGATTGAGAACTGACATACCTCAAGGTTGACTAAGAACTTGACATACCTCAAGGTTGACTAAGAATTGACATACCTCAAGGTTGACTAAGAACTTGACATACCTGAGGTTGACTAAGAACTTGACATACCGCAGGTTGACTAAGAACTTGACATACCTGAGGTTGACTAAGAACTTGACATACCTCAGGTTTACTAAGAGCTTGACATACCTCAAGGTTGACTAAGACTTGACATACCTCAAGGTTGACGAGAACTTGACATACTCAAGGTTGACTAAGAACTTGACATACCTCAAGGTTGACTAAGAACTTGACATACCTCAAGGTTGACTAAGAACTTGACATACCTGAAGGTTGACTAAGAACTTGACATACCTCAAGGTTGACTAAGAACTTGACATACCTGAAGGTTGACTAAGAAACTTGACATACCTCAAGGTTGACTAAGAACTTGATATACCTGAAGGTTGACTAAGAACTTGACATACCTCAAGGTTGACTGAGAACTTGACATACCTCAAGGTTGACTAAGAACTTGACATACCTGAAGGTTGACTAAGAACTTGACATACCTCAAGGTTGACTGAGAACTTGACATACCTCATAGTTGATTGAGTTAATAACTTGTAACATAACCAACGTTTTGCTAGAATTTGACATGGCCGAAGCCTTGATTGAAGAAGTATGACTACCTGTCTGTCAACTAAGAATTAACATTAGACAGGGTTTACTGAAGAACTTTCTACACATGACTGACTGAATTTAAACACTCCCAAGGTTGACTTTAAGAACCTTGCATATCCAGGTTGAACCAAGAATTGAAAATACCTCAAGGGTTCGCTAAGGGAACTTGATACATGGTGGGAGAGCTATGAAATTAACATAAATCATGGTTTGAAGACGTAGCTGTTGTAAATATGCTTGCATGTGAAATAAATTTATTTCGACAGCGGAGAGAATAAATACCAACAATCTGCATCTCCAAACTTTATTATAATTATTATTATTATTATTATTATTATTATTATTATTATTATTATTATTATTATTATTAATTTATATTATTTTATTATTGTTTTCACTGGGAAAGCGCTAAACCCTGTAGGAGTTATAGTCCTTGGATCAAGAGCATTTCAGTTGCTTCCTCCAAGGGCTGTTGATAAATGTTTAAGAAACTGATTTATTGGTAATTTATTTGGCGAAGTTTACAGAGATGATTTCTTTTTTACTAATTGTGAAGTACATTTTTCATATTGTTTTAATTTGGTGGGTTTTCTTTCTAGTGGCTTTTTTCACTCTGTATGGATGGGTTTAAAATGTGTGTGCCAGTTTTTTCCTTGATGGCACAGGGCGCTGAATGTTCTTTAGGATGAAGTGCCGCTGGCCGTCCATGCTGTCTTCCTTCTTGCCTTACAGATGGGTGGAGTGATGTTTCTCAAGGCTGGCTTGTGGGAGCTGGTGCACTACGTCAACAGAGTGGCTCCTGACGAGGTACCAGTATACTTCTACTCTTGGGAGTTCGAGGCGGACGACTCGCTTTTCCCATGGATCTTCTTGTCCATGCCTGATATTCCTGTGCCTGGAGGTGAGAAAGAGAGAGAGAGAGAGAGAGAGAGAGAGAGAGAGAGAGAGAGAGAGAGAGAGAAGAGAGAGAGAGAGAGAGAGAGAGAGAGAAAGAGAGAGGGAGAAGGAGAGAGAGTAGTGTAGAGGGGAGAAAATAAAAAAAATTCTTCTCCTTTAGGTATCTCACACGCTGACGAGCTCCTCTACCTCTTCCACCTTCCCAGTGATTTGGACGATCGTCAGAAGGTCATGGTAGAGCGTATGTTGACACTTTGGACCAACTTCGCAATATGTGGGTGAGTATCATCTACTGACGTGTCATCTACTGACGTGTCATCTACTGACGTGTCATGTACTGACATGTCATCTACTGACGTGTCATCTAGTGACGACTCATCTACTGACGTCTCATCTGCTGGAGTCAGCAACAACATATCTAGGCCGTGTCCCATATTAGATTTCAGTGACGTACTACCTACAACAGCGAAGAGAAGACACACGTTGCAGGATAAGCTACAAAACGTTTTGCTCTGTGCAGAGCGAAACGTTTATCATGACTTGATAAAGTGCTACACAGAACGTATAGATTTGTCCCCATAAAACCTTGTTTCTCAGCGTATATCTTCTTTTTTTTCTTGTCACAAAATATTTTGAAGATTTTGACCAACTGAATAATTGTCTAGGTGTGTTATTTACAAAATTTTCGACGTTAATAATATATACCAAATGGGCACTGTAATAGACCTACTGGCCAGTGGGAACCAGACTCTGTTACACACAATAACTTTCTCTGATGTGTCCATCGGGGCAGACGGAGGATCAAGCCTCCATCATGTCTTGGGCTGAATGACCCACGTGGTTTTAGCGCTTAACATGAATTATTTACTTATTTATTTTCACTAATTCATCTCTTTGGCCAACTAATAATTACGTAAATCCAGTTATAATCTGCGTCCGTTTAATTTTAATTTATCTCTGTGAGTGCTCTCTTGATTCAGCATTTTAATCCCCTTGTTGGATGAAGGCACACATAAAGCTTGGTAAACTTTGTTTTAGCGACGTTTCACCTCTATGGGAAAAGGTTTAACATTATTCTACGACCGATTAAGTCGTGATTAAGTCTTGTGTTGCTTTATTCCATCACCGCTTCGCAGTCTCTTCGCCTACCTGTATATCCCTTGTTGTTGTCATCTCCTTGATTTATACCTATATTCTTGGGTACACTTCGGTATCATTTCTTAATGAATGTCTGAGTATATATACGATTATGTACGTATATACGTTGTGTGTGTACGTATATACGTTGTGTTGTGTACGTATATACGTTGTGTTTTGTGTATATATACGTTGTATTGTGTGGGGTTCGCTGTACCAGTGACGATCACGATGTCTTCCAAAAGTTTCTATAAGCATTGTATTACTGTGCGACACAACCACATGGAATATTGTATTACACAATTGTTTTTAAAAGATGTGTTCAGTATGTTTATAGAGTATGAATAAATGTCAGTATTATGTATGTACAGCTACAGTACCTATATGTGTAATTATTCTTGACGTATTTTCGTGGTATGCAGATGGAAACTTTTAGGATTATTAAAAGAAATTATTTACTGGTAATGTAACGTTAGCTAAAGTGTAACGTAACGTTAGCTGAAGTATAAAGTAACGTTAGCTAAAGTGTAACTCAAAGCCTACTCTGGACCCTAATCTTGAGCATATAAGGCGCAGGGTGATTTTCCAAGACTTTTCGTGGGAAAAAAAGCTGGCGTCATATGCCAGAAAATACGGTAACCCACGAACTCTGACGTAAAAGTATAATAAATGCTCATTCTTCACGTGGGGTTGTCTGGGTCATAACTTAACTGGAAAAAAAATATTCAGTCATAAAATGCGTCACCTGCTCACTCTGCCCGCGTCGCAAAGGTAAGATCAAACTGATTTCTCTGCCTCTGACAGGAACCCGACTCCTGACGATGGTGAATGCCAGAGTGAGGAGTGGAAGGGAGAGATAGAGAAGTGGCAGACCTTCTCCCTTACACAACCCAACTTCATGCTCATCACTGACACATTCACAGTAGCCCAGGATTTTCTCACGCGATGGAACTACCACAGGGATGTGGTAAGTCCCACCACGCAGGTCAGTTGTTCTCTCTCCCTCTCTCTCCTAAATATTGTTTACAATCAAATTTTTCTCAATAAATTATCAGTAAAATTAAGTAAAGGACACATGTGCAGCTAATGCGACATTTTTATTGTGACAACGTTTCTTTGTCAGAGGAAAGAAAGTCTCCCTGATAATATTGTGTGTACATAGTGTATAGTGTATACTACAGTGGCTCACTAGTATGTAGATAATAAAGGCTAAAGTGTCATTTGAAAACAGGTGAATTTGTAAATGAAGTGATAAGCCTATAGAGGCAGGTGCCAGAAGTCGCCAGAAACTTACCACACTGGTCAGCTGTTTTAATAATCTTCCTGGCTTGCTAGTGTACTCGCATATAATCTAGTGATACCAGTGAATAGCAGAATACAGTGTTGTAGTAGCAACTAACCAGTATTATAATGGTACTTAGTGGAGTGGAGTGACTTTCATTAGTTTCTTTTTTCTTGAACATTAAAATGGTATAAAATACCGACAGATTGTTAGGTAAGACACATATGCAACAGTAGGTATCTTTATTTCGAAACGTTTCGCCTACACAGTAGGCTTCATCAGTCGAGTACAGAAAAGTTGATAGAAGCAGAAGAGACTTGAAGACTATGTAATCAGTCCAACACAAGGGTATCTTGGTACAGACCTAAAATCAACTTCGACATCCTCTTCTAGTGAGAACGGCTGGATTTGAGAGGGACCTGACATCCAACATCTGCGTTCTTACCTCTACTAGTGACCTACGTCTCACCTCCTGGCGCTATATAAGGCTCCATCCTGTCACTTCAACTCCATATTGTTTCAGACTATGGAACAAGGCTCTTCTCCAGAATGAGGGACTGACCACTTCAAATCTTTAAGGGTGATGGACTGATTACATCGTCTTCAAGTCTCTTCTGCTTCTATCAACTTTTCTGTACTCGACTGAAGAAGCCTACTGTGTAGGCGAAACGTTTCGAAATAAAGATACCTACTGTTGCATTCTTTTTTCTTGAAATGCCAGACGTATACTGTGTTTTTCATATAACCTGTAGTTACAAGCGGTCGCAATATACACAACGAGAAGAAAATATTACTACAGAAAAAGCGTCCTTCCTCCAAAATTTTCACCAGTCAACTGTAGTGATAATATAGCAATTATTGTGGTGAGACAGAAAAAACCTAGAAAAGCTAGATACAGTGATTGATAAACAAGGGTTGAGGCTCGACCGTTCGTCATTGTAGGAGCTGCCAGAAATCACCGGTTCTTCAACACGCAAGTTATACTTTTGTATCAATCAAATCACATATTACTCGGGTAGATAATTTCCAGTAGATCGTTCATGTGTTAGCCCAAATCACCGACCAGTATGTTTTAAATAAGTGACCCACTGATCAGATCAGACTGGTTCCGAACCCTCGACTGGTCCGAACCTTCGACTGGTCCGAACCCTTGACTGGTCCGAACCCTTGACCAGTTTCAAACGGATTCCTTGGACAATAAAGCAGACTGTAAACGGATGGGGTTGTAGGCGCCCTTATCAAACACAAACAATAAATATAAAACAGGAGCATACTCCGGTAAGCTGTCCTAATATACAAGTACAGCCAGAAATAGAAATACAAATAGCTAGAGCTTCATTTAAGGAGGTTATTAATAAAGTATTCAAGAGGTTGCTAGTAGAATTACAGTAAATCAACCATTCAAATCATTATGAAGCCCTGTGTAGTCTGCAATCAATCAAACAAACGGGCCTCCACATGGATAAATTGTCATTTTTGTGGAAATTGGTGTCACGCCCCTTGTGCAGATATCCAAGAACTAGCTACAAGCAGTATTAAAACAGGGAAGTGTTTTTGGGTATACCCAAATGAGATAAATCTGTGGACTAAAATCACAATGGTATTAAAAGAGGATAACATCAAAGCTGCTTTCATAGACAACCTGGAAGCTTTCTACAACAGATGGGAACATAAAAAGTCTGGGCTGAATGGTACTGCCCCTGATACTGGCCATGTAGTCAGAAACTGTAAGGCTGGAGGTGAAGCTGGAGGTGCTGTCCTGGGAGACAGTTATGGTGAAGCTGGAGGTGCTGTCCTGGGAGACAGTAATGGTGAAGCTGGAGGTGCTGTCCTATGAGACAGTAATGGTGAAGCTGGAGATTTTGTCCAGGTAGTCGGGAATTATACGCAGGAATGCATATAAATGACCTCATGGGAGACAGGAGCCGTAGTGGGGAAACAAGTGTAGTCAAAGATAAGATAAAACCAATATTGCAAACTAGAAATACCACAGGAAATAACAAACAAGAGGACTCCACTAGCAATAGTGAGGATATATTACCAAAAACAACTGGTGGGAGCTCCATTGTTGGTGCTAGGGAGGATAGGAATAAGACAGGTAAACATGCACCAACAGGGAATACAGTCACAGAAACCCAAGGCAAACGGAAACCAAGCCTGTGCACATACTATGCACTATGGGAAATTTGGAAAAACAGATGGGACGTGCAACTATGACCACCCTAGAAAATGCCGTGCCCATATGACAGCAGGAAAATGCAAACTCCCTTCCTGTAAGCTTTTTCACCCTGAAATGTGTACCTCTTCAGTACAGGAAAGACTGTGCTATAATTTAAATTGTCAGGCACACCATCTAAAGGGGACAAAAAGATACAAAACATCCAGGCCATGGGAAAACCTGGGTAGCCACAGCCACTCAAGAGGGAGAGGTTTTTTAGTGCAAGGAAGGAAAAAAAAACTGGCAGGAAATGGCTGAAATCGTACACCAAATCCAGTCATTCCTGGAGTGGAACCACAGTCGATGGCCTCCACTCCAAACCAACAGATACAGATACTAACGCCGGAAAAAAAATCCCCCCCCCCCAGTACCAACAATGTCACCAGTCCGATGACATTCTTCTTTGCAGATATACAGGGTCTAAAGCCAGCAACAAACAACAAAATACCTTTCATCCGTGGACTGCTTGCAGAGGCAAAGGCAATGTTCGCGGCTTTCACTGAGACCCACATAAAGGATCACTTGGACAACGAAATATGGATCCCAGGTTACAACCTATACACATGTGACAGAGTGAACAGGCAAAAGGGGGGGGGGGGCTGTACATTGCAGAGTCACTTCTTTGCACAGAACTGCTTAATGCCTCAAATGATGTAGTGGAAGTTTTAGCAGTAAAGATCGAGAACCAAAACCTAGTCATTGTGGTAGTCTACAAGCCTCCGGATGCAACATCCCAGACTGTTCAACTGCCTCCCAGCATACATAAGGGGGATTACCAACAGACCCCTGGCAGTCTTCAAGCTGGCACTGGACAAGCACCTAAAGTCGGTACCTGACCAGCCGGGCTGTGGCTCGTACGTTCGTTTGCGTGCAGCCAGCAGTAACAGCCTGGTTGATCAGGTTCTGATCACAGGCTGGTCACAGACCGGGCCGCGGGGGCGTTGACCCCCGGAACTCTCTCCAGGTAAACTCCAGGTAAACTCCAGGAGCTTTGTCAAACCGTTACAAAAATTGCATGGACACAGCGTATACATATACCCTCTGTGTCATTGTTGCCACAATAAAATGTCACATTAGTTGCACTTGTATCCTTTTACTTAACATTTTTTTTATTTATTATCACACTGGCCGATTCCCACCAAGGCAGGGTGGCCCGAAAAAGAAAAACTTTCACCATCATTCACTCCATCACTGTCTTGCCAGAAGGGTGCTTTACACTACAGTTTTTAAACTGCAACATTAACACCCCTCCTTCGGAGTGTAGGCACTGTACTTCCCATCTCCAGGACTCAAGTCCGGCCTGCCGGTTTCCCTGAATCCCTTCATAAATGTTACTTTGCTCACACTCCAACAGCACGTCAAGTATTAAAAACCATTCGTCTCCATTCACTCCTATCAAACACGCTCACGCACGCCTGCTGGAAGTCCAAGCCCCTCACACACAAAACCTCCTTTACCCCCTCCCTCCAACCTTTCCTAGGCCGACCCCTATCCCTCCTTCCTTCCACTACAGACTGATACACTCTTGAAGTCATTCTGTTTCGCTCCATTCTCTCTACATGTCCGAACCACCTCAACAACCCTTCCTCAGCCCTCTGGACAACAGTTTTGGTAATCCCGCACCTCCTCCTAACTTCCAAACTACGAATTCTCTGCATTATATTCACACCACACATTGCCCTCAGACATGACATCTCCACTGCCTCCAGCCTTCTCCTCGCTGCAACATTCATCACCCATGCTTCACACCCATATAAGAGTGTTGGTAAAACTATACTCTCATACATTCCCCTCTTTGCCTCCAAAGACAAAGTTCTTTGTCTCCACAGACTCCTAAGTGCACCACTCACCCTTTTCCCCTCATCAATTCTGTGATTCACCTCATCCTCCATAGACCCATCCGCTGACACGTCCACTCCCAAATATCTGAATACATTCACTTCCTCCATACTCTCTCTCTCCAATCTGATATCCAATCTTTCATCACCTAATATTTTTGTTATCCTCATAACCTTACTCTTTCCTGTATTCACTTTTAATTTTCTTCTTTTGAACACCCTACCAAATTCATCCACCAATCTCTGCAACTTCTCTTCAGAATCTCCCAAGAGCACAGTGTCATCAGCAAAGAGCAACTGTGACAACTCCCACTTTATGTGTGATTCTTTATCTTTTAACTCCACGCCTCTTGTCAAGACCCTCGCATTTACTTCTCTTACAACCCCATCTATAAATATATTAAACAACCACGGCGACATCACACATCCCTGTCTAAGGCCTACTTTTACTGGGAAATAATTTCCCTCTTTCCTATGTACTCTAACTTGAGCCTCACTATCCTCGTAAAAACTCTTCACTGCTTTCAGTAACCTACCTCCTACACCATACACCTGCAACATCTGCCACATTGGCCCCCCTATCCACCTGTCATACGCCTTTTTCAAATCCATAAATGCCACAAAGACCTCTTTAGCCTTATCTAAATACTGTTCACTTATATGTTTCACTGTAAACACCTGGTCCACACACCCCCTACCTTTCCTAAAGCCCCCTTGTTCATCTGCTATCCTATTCTCCGTTTTACTTTTAATTCTTTCAATAATAACTCTACCATACACTTTACCAGGTATACTCAACAGACTTATCCCCCTATAATTTTTGCACCCTCTTTTGTCCCCTTTGCCTTTATACAAAGGAACTATGCATGCTCTCTGCCAATCCCTAGGTACCTTACCCTCTTCCATACATTAAATAATTGCCCCAAAACCACCCCAAAACTATATCCCCACCTGCTTTTAACATTTCTATCTTTATCCCATCAATCCCGGCTGCCTTACCCCCTTTCATTTTACCTACTGCCTCACGAACTTCCCCCACACTCACAACTGGCTCTTCCTCACTCCTGTAAGATGTTATTCCTCCTTGCCCTATACACGAAATCACAGCTTCCCCTATCTTCATCAACATTTAACAATTCCTCAAATATTCCCTCCATCTTCCCAATACCTCTAACTCTCCGTTTAATAACTCTCCTCTCCTATTTTAACTGAAAAAATCCATTTGTTCTCTAGGCTTCCTTAATTTATTAATCTCACTCCAAAACTTTTTCTTATTTTCAACAAAATTTGTTGATAACATCTCACCCACTCTCTCATTTGCTCTCTTTTTACATTGCTTCACCACTCTCTTAACCTCTCTCTTTTTCTCCATATACTCTTCCCTCCTTGCATCACTTCTACTTTGTAAAACTTCTCATATGCTAACTTTTTCTCCCTTACTACTCTCTTTACATCATCATTCCACCAATCGCTCCTCTTCCCTCCGCACCCACTTTCCTGTAACCACAAACTTCTGCTGAACACTCTAACATACATTTTTAAACCTCCCCCATACCTCTTCGACCCCATTGCCTATGCTCTCATTAGCCCATCTATCTTCCAATAGCTGTTTATATCTTTCCCTAATTGCCTCCTCTTTTAGTTTATAAACCTTCACCTCTCTCTTCCCTGATGCTTCTATTCTCCTTTTATCCCATCTACCTTTTACTCTCAGTGTAGCTACAACTAGAAAGTGATCTGATATATCTGTGGCCCCTCTATAAACATGTACATCCTGAAGTCTACTCAACAGTCTTTTATCTACCAATACATAATCCAATAAACTACTGTCATTTCGCCGTACATCATATCTTGTATACTTATTTATCCTCTTTTTCTTAAAATATGTATTACCTATAACTAAACCCCTTTCTATACAAAGTTCAATCAAAGGGCTCCCATTATCATTTACACCTGGCACTCCAAACTTTCCTACCACACCCTCTCTAAAAGTTTCTCCTACTTTAGCATTCAGGTCCCCTACCACTTGGTTCAAAGGCTCCTATACTTACTTAACATATTGTCGGTAATTCTACCAACATTACAATAAAAATTAGAGAATGTGAAATACTGGAGATCTCAGTCTTACTGTGTCGTGTCCACCTCATTGCTGTACCACAAATACTGATTTAATATTTACCTTCCAATTTTCTTCATTTTCAGGCGGTGAGCAGCACAGTCGAGCCACAGGTGGTGTCCAAAGAAGAGTTCGACCAGCAAGTGCACAAGACGAAACAGTGGCAGCTGGCTACAGGTATCCTGGGCTGGTCTGCTTGCGTGCACTGTCATCGTAGCCGCTGCGCTCCTCGGCACACTGCGCAGGAAAAACAATCAACTTGCGTGATGTGTTAAAGGGATTCACAGTGCGAGTGCATCTGAGTAGGTGTGTTTGGCGAAGAGCGACGAAGGCTCGAGCCTTCGTAGCACAGCTTGTGCTAAATGAAAGACTCACGGGTTTAGTTTTTTCGTTTTAAAACTTTAAGATGTAAATGTTTTGGGTTTTCTTTTTTCCCATGACACAACCTAATTTGGGGCTGTTTTCCCCTTTACACGGACCTTTTGGGAAACGACTGAAACCCCCCCTTTGAAAAGGGAACCAATTTGGGCTGTTTTCCCCCAGGCAGGGAATTTGGGTTGGACAAACTGTTTTCCCCAAATGAAAAACGAACCAATTTGTGGGTTTTCCCATGAAACGAACCTGGGGAAACACTGAAATTCTCATGACACGAACCAATTTGGGGCGTATTCCCATGACACGGACCTTTTGGACGCCCGTTTCCCCATGACACGAACCCTTACTATTTTCCTATAGTGTTTTTTGTCTCCCATCGCTCTTGGGCTGTGTAGCCCCCCTTTGCCTGACGCTCCTCAGAAAACCTTTACAGATGGTACGAGGAGGGTTGTTGTGCTCTTTTGACACCGCGGGGAAATTACGGGTTTGTTGAGATGGGGGTTTGTTATCGCAGACGCTTTAAAATACAATTGGAAATTGGGAACTGTTTCCCGAGGTGCGTTTTAAAACCCAGTTCAGCTCAAATACTCTTACCCAAAAATAATCAGGGAGACATAGGGCATACAAAAAAAATAGTAAATTTTTGGGTAGCGCTAAAGGGAGCCATAGAGTATTTTTGAAACTGTTTGGGCTGCGACATTTTTAAAGAATCGGGGGTTTTCCCGCGTTTTCCAGATTTTGGGTTTTTTTAACTTTTATTTCCTCGGTGCGTGGAGACGGTGGACGTGTCCCCGATTTTATACCTGGATAAATTTTGAAAAATTTCCCCTTTCCGGGGCAAACAAAAAGCTGACATCAGAAACTATTTGAAAATAGGGAAAATGTGCAATCCCCCAGCGGGGTTGGGGAAAATAATGGGTGCCTACCGGGGTTATGCCAGAAGGTAATTCACCTTAAGATGACTTTTGCCCCAACCCATACCGTCAAGTTGAAACTTCAAGTTTTTGGGAAACACGGTTAAAGGTTTTTTAATATCCTGGACACGGCGTAGGGTTCGCTTTTTGTGGAGATTGACCCATACCCGGGCAGCGAAAAGAACAGACGCGTGACCAAACCTTTTCAAGAGACGTAGCCCCAGTCAAAACGTAAAGGGTGAGCATCGTTTCGCCCAGGGGAAAGGGGCGTGGTCGTTTGTGGAGTGAGGGGGGGAACGGGCTTTTCGAAATGAAGTAGTCCTTCCCTCAGTTTCCCTGAAACCCTGAGTCTTTGCCGAAAACCAAACTACTGGTTTTGGTCCCCCGGGATGAACGTTTGAGTTTTGGTCGAAGACAAATTTTCCCTTTGAGGTTTTAGACGTTTTTTTAAAAGGACCTTGTCACCGCAAGTGGTGGAAGCCCGTTTTCCGGGAAGACGTACTGGGACTTCTGAGCCCGGGAAATTGCCCCAAAAAATTGAGACCCCGAAAAAGGGCCCGACGAAAACGGGAAAAGGGGAGACTTCAAACCTCTTTGGGAGGGATGTTGAGTACCCCGTGGGGCCCTTTCCCTGGGATCTTAAAACAGGGAGGATAAAACGAACCAGGAAAGGGCAGCTCCGTCAGATTCGGATGAATACTGCCCCCCCCGGGCACGAGGCTGGGAAAAAAACAAAGGGGAAATGGTGAGGGGGGGGGAGGGGGGGGTGGGGTCATGGGGGACGCCACGCAAGAAGGGGGCGAATGGAAAGGTACTGAAAAAAGACCATAGACGTAACAAATCAAGTGGGAACCAGGGGAGGAGAAGAGGAAAGGGGGGAAAATTTATAACGGGCCTTAGGTAAGGGAATGCAAAAGTTAACGGTTTGTGTACTAGAATAAAGAGAGTTTGGGTTGAGCATTTTCCTTTAACAAAAAATAGAATTGATTTTCTTTTCCTCAAGAAAAAAATTTTCAAAAAGGAGAAGTGTTGCAGGTTGCGGTTATACAGTACTGACCCCCCAAACTTTTCTTTTGAAAGTTGGGGGGCCCTTTTAAAAAAAAGGGAAGGGCCCGGGGGGGCAGAGATTGAGGGGGGGGGGGGGGGTTTTTTCAGAGAGAAAAGGGGGGGGGAAAGGGGTTGCGAGGGGAGGGGAATTGGAGGGGAAAAGGGCGTGTATCTTTGGTAAGGGGCCCTTTGCCCCTGGGGGAGAATACACGAAGGTTCGAAGGGAATTTTTGTGTGAGGCCCTTTGTTTTTTTTTTGCGGGGCCCTTCCGGAAGTACGATTGGGGGTGAGGGGAATTTTAAAGGGGCGGCGGGACGTCAAACCCAAAGGGCGGGGCATGTGTTTTCCCACCTCCCCCAGAGTTTAGTTGGGGGATGTTAATTTTAAGAATGTGTTTGGGGGGGGTGTGGGAAACAGAAAAAACCCTTTTTATCAAAGGGGGATATGCTGCAATTTTAACAGAGGGGGATATTTCGCGGGGATTTAGTTGTAAAGTTTTTTAATACGGGGAGACGTCTTGTCAGATAAAAAGGGCAGTGTAGTGGAGGGGGGTTGGGGGGAAATGGCCGAAATTTAAAAAAATTAAAAGGGAAAATTAAATATTAGTGTTTAAAACCCGATGAGGAAGGGAGGGGTTTTTTTCCTTTTTCTTGGAATAGTTTTTTAAAGGGGAAGCTCGGGAGGGGGGAAAGCCCTTTGGGAAACTTGGGGGGACTCGGTGGAAAAGGAAAGGATAAAGCCCTTTTTAATTTTAGGGAGGGTAGGCGTATAAACACTTTAAAAATAGGGGCAAAGCGAATTATTTAGGGGAAACGATTACGAATTTTTAAAGGGCAGGGAACGGTTGGTGTTTTTCCCCCATGGCGAGATTTTAGACATAAAAAAAGGGGCTTGCGAACGTTGCAAAAATGAGCGGTTTCCAAGCGGGGAGGGTTTCAAGCAAGGGTTTGAAGAAGTTTTGTGGGGGGATAAGCCATCCTTTTGTTTGTTTAGACAACCCAAAACAAAAAACAGCGTGACGGCAATCCCGAGCTTGAGGTTTAAAAGAGACATTTGGGAAAACCATAGGCAGGTCAAGGATACGAAACCCCAAAAGCAAAGAGTGCCCTAAACCCGGAAAAACAAGGTAAAAAAAACACTGGACTAAGTGGCGTGGATGAAGTGGGAAATTTAAATAAGGTGGCACGAAAGCAAAATGCATTTTGGGGGCCCAGTGATAGGAAGGCATTTGGGTGGGTTTTTTACGAGGAGGGAAAATTTAAATTTCTTTTTCACGGAATGAGGAAAAGGGAAAAACCCCGGGTTTTTGAAAGGTTTTACCGGGGAAATTTTTTTTTTGCAGCATTGGGGTTTGATTTTGGGGAAATTTTATGAAAAATTATTAAATTGAAAGAAGGAGAAGGGGGACGTTTGGGGATAAGCAGAATACGGCAGTTTTTGGGTTGGCCCCAAAGGCAAAGGGGGGAACCAAACCTTGGGGCGTATAGGGCGATATCTTGCTCTGTGGGAGACTATAAGGTTTTCCCCAAAAAATTTTGGGAATAGGGGGAAAAAAGGGGTTTTGGGGGGAGGGTTTTTTCGCCCTCGCAGTATGGTTTTCCCGGGGGAGGTCGAGTTAGAAGGTCACGGGCCTTTTAAGAAATTTTTTTGGAGTCAAAGGGGGGAGGGGAGGGGGGGGCTTTTTCGGCCCCTTGGCTGGCGAGGCCCCCAATGATAGAGTGGAAAGGGGTGCACTGCAAGTATTCCTTTTGGAACAGGGTTTTTGGAGAAAAAATAGTTGGGGGAAAAAACTCTGTATAAGGGGGCAAGGAGAGGGTACAAATAAATTGGGGGTAGGGGAAAGGACTTGAGATGGGTAGAGGGGTTTAAAACAAGGGGGCCCTAAGTCACAGATCTTATTTGCGTGTTTTTTAGGATCCCTTTTTCAGGGTGGTTTAGAGCACAGTTAGTGCCCCGGGGGGGGTGGGGAAAGGGGAAAGGGGGGTTGTTGGCCCGGGATTAAAAGGGTTTTGTGGATGATACGACTGTTTTGGGGGTGTGAAAGAATGTCCAAAGAAAGGGGGTTGGGAAAATGTTGGCGTGGGGTTTTTAACCCACGGGGATGAAGGTAAAAAGTGAAAAGTCGATGAACCGGGGTTTGGGGGCCCGGAAAGGGGGGGGAATGGTGAGCTGTAAAAGTGGGTTAAAAACAACACGCGATGCATTAAAAATTTGCGGTATTATTTTTAAAACGATTTGGGGTGGCGCGGGGGGAAAAAATTCCCCGTTTTGGACGTTGGAAAAGGTCATTGGGCTTTTTGGGGGTTTTTGGGCCCCAACCCCTCACTCTGGCCCAACGTGTGATTGTTGTTAAAGTTTTTTTTGTATAGTAAAGGGGTGGGAAAGTTTTCGGCGTTTTCCCCCTTTTTCAGGGAAAAGCGATCAAAGGAATATTTAGAAAGTTTTTACCTTTCTTGGGGAAACGAGGTGTGATTTTGGTTTTAAAAAGGAGGTTTTTTATTTTACCGTACGGGCGAGGGGGTTTAGATTGTTTTGGGCTTAAAGCGAGGGGGGGAAATTTTGTTTTTCTAAAATGGGGAAAGGTTTTTCGTGTGGGTTTTGATTGGGGGGAAATAAAGGACCAAATAAAAAACAGGTGAAAAAGTTGGGATAGGGGAAAGGGGTTAAAGGGGAAAGTGAAAATTGTACTACACTTTGTTGATGGGAAAGGAACGGAGGAACATTCGCATAAGGGGTTTTTAAGGGAGGTTACTAAGGGGGACTTTCCCCACTCCCCGTAGAAGGTTTGTTTCCCATTAAATTTGTGGGGAAAAATAAGGCTCCGTTTTTGCAAGGTTTTAAATTTCGGGCCCAGGGGTGCTTTAAGTCTGTTTTTGTTTTTTACATTGGGATATTTCCGCAGGGGGAATACAAAGATCCAAAGAGTGGTGGGAGGGGGGGGTTTTTTGGGGGGGGCACGTTTTCCCCCTTGTCTATTTT